TGAAGGCAGCATCCCCCAACTGAGGGCGGAGGTTGCAGTCTGACTGCCAACGGCTATAGACTGAATCGCCGACGCATTGTAACCTAATGCGGCTGCAGAAGCAGCTGCCCCTCTTCCAAAAGAATGGGAATCATAGGCACCTAGTTTTCAGCCCAGAAATATAATCCCCATTTTAGCACCAAAGGGAAATGGAATCTGGTCAAGTACTTAACATCTCCATGAATAAACTAACGGCTCCCACGGGGTAGCTGGAAAGCCTGGAATACACACAACGAAAGCAAATCCTTTCATCATTACATTCCCTTAGCAAAGTCTGGGATCCTCTGCCAGCCCCATCAATTTGAAGTCAGCATCACAGATCCCAGGCCCTAATGGAGGTCATTCCAGACCAGACACATAACTGAACAATCATTAGCAGACACTGCTATGCTCTCACTTACCCAAAGCCACCAAAAAAGCAGCCATGAATAACACGTTGAAGAAAAAAGCCTTGCAACGGCTAGCACATGCCCTTGGGAAGGCCTGAACCAGGTCAAACAGAATCTGAATCATGTGACACCTGGGATCTTCAATTGCAACCAACCTTTAAGATGCCTCTGAACCACAAATCCCCTGGCAATAAATCAGGGAATCCTGCAAACACCACAAGATCGCCTGTTGTGATGAACTGTGCAAGAGCAAGGGGGATGTTAGGAACAGACTTCATAGGCAGTCACCTAATTTTTGGGGCAGCTCCTGCTTGATTTTTCCATCAGTCAGAAAGGGGAAGTGGAATGTCTGCCCCTTTAAGGATATTGTGAATATTACCAGGAGCTGCCACACTAGGGTGACTGGATCAACCCAGCTGCCCCTTCCACAATAGCCAGGCAGGGAAGTGGGGGTATCTGCTCCATTCATTGTATCCTCGCACACTGTTGGGGTGGCAGAGCAGCTGCTGCCCTGGGCGATCATGCCAGTGCTGTTGAGTCAGCTCGACTCCCATCTCCCCACCAGCTGGGACATCTCTTGAGGGTCAGGAGGAGGGTAGTTTGCTTCCTAAGAGCCAAGCTCCCTCTCCTCCAATCTGTGGAAGAGGCAAGCCTACAACGGACCAACAGCTTTGTGACATGGACTTGCTGAAGCTCTGGTATGGGTAACACACAAAAACAAACCCCGACAACTCCTAAAACTCAAACTTTGTTAAACCCACTTTGTACACCCCAAATATCTTTGGAGCTATAGATTTTTCTACCAATCCAAGAGCAGATTACGCAAGGACTGTGATACCTTGACCCGGTCTCAGCTGCCTGAGGCATGTCGTCACAAAGTCCATGCAGATGAAGATGAAATTCCCCAGTTACACTCATCCTGAATAGGACTGGAAACCACCTGTTGCTCTTGTCCCCTAAATCTGAGGGGAAAGGGGTGTCAAACCTTCCCTGCTGTTATTCCAGACCTCAAGGCCACAATCCACAAGGAAGGCCCCACTAAGGCATCTTGGGACCAGAGATCTAAATCAGAGACTGTCCAGGAAGTCAAGCGGCACCTCCTTCACCAGAGCGACAGGCCCAGCTACGCCCCCATTCTATGCTGCATCCTTCCCTCTTAGGCATCTTCAACAAGGCACCAAATGAAATGGCAGCCAATGGCACCTCTGCACGGCCCATGAACTGGCCAATCACAGCTCTGGGGGATAAACAGGCAGGGGGAATAGGCCACACCACACTGATTTAGCAAAAGGAATCCACAATAAAACATATCACCACATTTTAGAGCCAACTCTCCGACTAGATTTCAGAGGACAAGAGCACTCAACATTGCTTCCAGCTCATTTTACTCCTCACCGCATGCAACTGTATTTAATGAGTTGGATAAGCAAAATTCAATAACCACATCAGCAAACTGGTTATTCATGTTATCTGTAATCTAACAAGAACATTTAAGTGCTTAGGTCTATCGAACAGTTAAATGACAAAAGCTAAACAAATTAAGACAAATATACCTGTCACCTTAATGTCCCCCAAGTGCTTAGGCTCTGCATCACATATTGGTCTCACTCAGACCTCAGCAATACTTAATTACGAAAGGGGGAACTTAGAATGAAGTAGCACCCCTCATTTCAAGTTTATTTTAAATTTACACATTAGACCCCGGAGATTAATGCAGCTCTTCATAGTCATATGCTTATAGTCCAAAAATATATCTTCATAAGCGATTACAGCTGTATGGTTAAGATTTTCAAGGGAGTCTAAGGAATTTGGGCACCATTTGGCATTTTTGAAAATATCCAGCCTTAAAGCTGGACTGAAATGCTTTTAACAAATGGTAAGACAGAGTAACAGCAGCAGCAGAACAAGTACACAGACAAGCAAAGACATTTTCATTATTTGAGCCACAAGGCTTTGTAAATTCTAAATCTGCAACTCTGTCTACACACAAAGTTGCATCAATTTAACTACAGATTTCAAGCCAATTTAATTAAACTGGTGGACGTGTGTGTATGGCCACTCACTGCACCTGTAATTTGCAGATGCTAGCTAAACCAATAGAAGACAAGTTTCAACTGCTATAGGTGTCCACACAAGGGTTTGTACCACCTTAACTTGATTTTAAACACATTTAATTTAAACCTGTGTGTGTAGGCAAACCCTGAGTTTAAACTTCTGTAGCAAGGTCAACTCTTGCTGGGGAAACAGAGAACCCTGAACTTGCTCCTTACCACGTAGTAAAATAGGAATTCTAACATTCAACTTTTTGGTTTCAAAGCATATTTGTAAGTTATATATTCTGCTAATTGTTAGGGATCTTAAAGTGTGGATTTGGGGGCAAGTTAGACACATTTAACTTCACCTGTATCCTAATATAACTTTTCAGTTAAAAAAAATTTCTGGCCAATACACTGAACTAAAAAATAGAAGTGCTAATTAAAAACTTCCTCTTATTCTGCTGTCATCTAGACACTAGTATAAGAACATTTACAGCAGGCTAGAATTTCAACAATTCTACACCAGTATTTACACAGTGAGCAGATTCTTCTGAGAACACAGATCTGTCATATTAGCATCACCTGTGCAAACAGTCGGTGGTTTGAGGCATTTGGAAATGGACAAACTTGAACCAACAATACTAATGTAGCCTGTGCCTGGGAGTGAAGAGGCTGGTAAGGTAGAGAGAAGATCAGAACAAAAAACACTGAGGGTACCTGGGAGAAAAAACTGAGTTTTTAGAAATTCAGTAAATCCTAATTTTAGATTACCTTTGATATAGCAACACTTCAGATAGATATTTGTACTGATGCAGAGAAACCTCCCAGACCAATGAGCCACCATAAAAAGCTATTTTATTTTAACTTTTTTCTCCCCATCCCCCCACCCAAAAAAAACCCCAACAACTTTTATAAGTGTTGCATTAGACTTCATGAACAGAAGTTCAGACAGGATCAACTCCTGCTGTGATGAGGTCTGCATGAATATGCAAAACACCAATGTTACTGGAAGAGATGCACAAGAGTACGCATTTAAGACTATGTAACTGGCAGCATTGCCTGAGCCACTAAGCTCACTGACTATATAACTGAGGAAATAAATTCTGTGCTTCTAATCTTTGCTAAAACATAATACACTCTGTGTAAATAATGTCAACACAAATTATTTTTTTCCCATCCTCTATGTTAAAGTTTTCTTCCCGCAGAGGGTTCAGGTGATGTGATGATACATTAAAGGGGACTTGATAAGCTAAACCAAAAATCAAACATTTGGCACATAATCCTAACTACCAGGATAAAGTTCTGAATTTAAGACCTACCTGGCCCCTGGCCTTTGCAGGTCCTGAAGTCCAATCCCACTGCAGATAATCAGCTTCTAACACACAATGATCTCGCATTTACTGCGTGGCAACCCCATACCAACTCATCCCAGATGAACATGAAGCTTATTTATGTGGTACATGGGACACCCTTTTCTAAACACAGTATTGCAAAGCTTATAGATTTTATTTTTAAATAGTAAAATTAACTGGTTAAAAAAAACTTAAAACCATTAAAATATTGTGAAACATATCAAACCATCTTTTACCCAAACCACGCCAATTCTAACAGGGAATCACTAGTACAGCGCATGCTGAATGTCAGCAGCTGATGATTCGTGGTGGGACTGGAATTTAGAATATACAGGAAAGAAGTTCTTAGCATTTGATGTATTCTGGGTTTATATGAATTTCTCTGCTAAACCTGTGTGCTACATAAGTCATATGTAAATAAGACAGACTTCTTTAAAGCCATGAAGAGTTGGATGGAAGGGCAGGGGGCAGAAGAGATTGTTTCCTGGTATTGGATGACAGGTTATAACAGAAACCTTGTCCAAAAACTGAGATGTTGCTCCCCAGTTCCCTCCATACACCCCCTTTACTCCCCTCCTATTTCTTTATCTTTCTGTTCCTTTGCCTTCTTTTCTGTTCTCCCCTTATTTTGAAGGAAAGGAAGGTCAATAAAATATAAAAAAGTAAATAAACCAGGTCCTATTCCCCACCACTGTAGACGGAGAATACAAAACCACAAACTCTTGGCAAGGTAAAAATCTACCACTTTATTAATGATAAAATAAGTTACTGCCCCCTCTGTACTGAAAGGGTAGCACCACACACACACTCAAAATACAACGAACAACAATGCTGCACCAACAGAAAGGCACTGATGCCAAAAGAGATACCAAAAACTTTTAGAAATATGAAGGCAAACATAATATATCATACAGATTAAAACAATTTTATCTTTAAACTACAGCCAGCGCATCCTTTGAGAGAGGGCATACAGAAATGACCAAGTCCAAAGAGGCATGAGGGGTTGACCCCTCTCGCCCCTTCACTGGAGAAGCCCCAACTCCCTCCATCAACCCTCAGCCTAGAGGGACTAAAACAGTCAAAGCTGCTAAGTACCCTGAAAGGGACAACACTTCTCCTTGCTGTGAAGGGTCACAGCCTAAAGACTTGATCCCATGGGAGGGGGTAAAAAACCACAATATTGAAAGGTTGTATGTTGCAGCTTTATTAAGGACAAAATCTTACAACAGTATATACACAGAATATCCCAGATTCTAATAAAGAGCAGGGACCATCAATAAAAAAATCCATAAGAGGGTTGGAAGCTGCTTATGAGGCAAAGTGGGGGCAGAACAGGAGCCCTGAATTAAAATGCTACTAAACACTTTATCATCTCATACTTATCAAACGATCTGTGATGGGGATTTTTACTAAATTATGTAGGAAAGCAACTAATTCAATAAGAAATGTTAATGCAGGCAGAGTGCTGACTCATTAAGGGACTAGGAAGTTTCAGATTTTGTGCTGGGGAGGTGAAAAGGCTGAGCACAGCTGTATTCCAAAAAAGTGTCCCAAAAAGCTGTGACAGTGTTTTATGGACAGCCTTGCCTGCTGCTGCATTTCAGGGTTGTTGTATAAATCGTTCTCTATAGCAGGGCTAATCAGTTACTCAAGTACTTCTGCACAGAGTCTATCAACAATCCATTGCCTACCTCCCAGACACCTCCCTGGGTGAGGATAAGGTGCCAGGGAATGCCTTCTACTGGGAAGAGGCAGACCACTGTAGCCCTAAAACTGCAGCAGACTTGTCAAAAGCCAATTGTCCATCCATCTGGAAGGACCAACAAGAGCCAGTGTCGCTGTTCAGCAAGGACCAACGCTTTGGTCCTGGGCACTCTAGCTGGCTACAAACAAGATTCAATTGCTTCTCGTAGGCTGGCATTGAAAATACCTTCCCCGATCTCTGACAGGTGAACACCATCTGGGCTGAACAGCTCCGGGGAAGAATACATAATCTGGTCATGCCTTAAAACTGAGATCCCAAACACGCTGCAAAATTTGGAGAGTTCCTTAATAATCATCTTCCTGGACTTCTCTACAACTCCTGGGGGTTTGTCTAACACTGGCCATGTCCTAGGCAGTAGAGTGGACCACACAATCTTTGTCTTGGGAAACATTGAACACAATGTTGTAAGGTCATTTTTCATGCTCTTGATTAAGCCCAGCCTTGATTGGTGAGCCAAGTCGTTTTCCCCCAAGTGTATAATTATCACATCAGGCAAAACGCCCCTCTGCACGACAGATTGTATTAGAGACAACAACTCATCCCACAGCATGTCCTTCGTACCCAACCACGATACACGAGCCCTGATGGGGTCTATCCCTAATCGTGCTCCATATGGATGGCACCAACCCCTCTTCCACAGTGAGGTCACCACTGTGTGGCCACAAATCCACACTTCCAGAGGATTAGCCTGAGGGGGTCGAGTCACTCCTGAAAGGAAACAACAAAAGGCTTCAGTTTAGTATGATCCTGCCCCCCACCTCCTCCCAAACAATCCCCACTGCCCAGACCATCAGCTTGCCTTGCAATGCTACATGGGGTATGTGAGCTTGCAAACACGGGTATTGTGGGGCTAGCAGTGTCAGAGTGGTGGTACTTGCAGCCTTTGAGAGGTGGTGGGACAGGAAGGTGCAGCAATGCCTTGTGCAATTTCACCAGCACCGGCAGGCTGTGATGATGCAAGGCAGCAGTCTAAGGAGGCTGCCATGTCCCTCCAGCTACAATCATGGCTGCTATGAGGGATCTGGGATTAGGTTATATTGGAAAAAAGTATGCCAAGTGAAGGGACAACGAAGCCCTCAGGACATAACAAGCAAGAGCTCTACTTTAATGAAGAGAGGGACCACTCTCCCTTAGAATGCTCCCTGGATGAGGAAAATGGAGAGCTTATGCCCCAACATGTGGGATGCTCAGCCCAAGAGAGAAATATATAAAATCCCCACTGACAAAGCGTTAACTACTAGGCCTACCATGAGCTTTTACCAAGTGAATAAGCTTTACATAGAGAACAATTTTAAATTTTAACAGACATCTACTGAAATATTTCTGACGCTAACCATCCACTGCTCTGATATACGGGATAGACTGCACCAGGAAGAATCCCCTTTTTAGTTTGCCTGTGGAGCCTACGAATTGAAACGTAAATGGGATGCCAATGTGGCAGAGCTTAGCCAGAATGAGTGAGAAGTTAAATTCCTGGGTCAAGTACCAGGAAGAACTGCGTTAAACAACTGGTGTGGAATGGAGCCAAGGACACGGCGGCAGTGCACTGCACTGTCCACCTGCTAGACCATTTCTGCAGGGCTATGGAGATCAAACCCAAATTGGTGTGCTTGATTCCAGGGAAGGAAAGCGGCTACATTAATATCATTCCCTTGCTGACTGGACTACAGAGCAGTACTCAAGGGACGCCAACAAGGGAAAGAGCTGCAGTGATCACTAAAAATGAGACAAAAGGGTTAAAGAGGGAAAGGATTCAGTGTCTATGAAAAAAGGTAATGGGAAATGGTCTTTGGTGCTGATGGCACTCGCCAAAACCAAAAATTATTCCAAAAATATTAACATAAAATAGAACAGCTGCTATTAAGAAGCAGTTTCTAAAAGAGGTCATGCACATTGTAAGGTAATACCATTAATTCCCTACACAGCACTATTGTTATTGGCCAATACAAATTTCCTATCCTCCACAATTGGACACTTGCACTCAACTGGTCCCTCCTCCTCCTCCTACTGGGAGGGATGACACCTCTCTAGTCTCCCCCCTGCTCTGAAGACTAAGATCATGCCCCTGGTATCATGGCACAAGTGCACCCTCCGTCCCCCCCAGCTCTGGTGCTCAGTCCTTACATGACACCCTTGTCCAGTTCTTGCATCACACATACACAGGGGCCCTTAGCATCACAGGTCTGTCACAGCAGTGCCTGTCCTCAGATACTTTTCTGGGATGCTCCCTACCTCTAATACAAATCTAGTCAGCCCCCTCCCTGCACCCAAGCCAGCCCTGTATTACTACCCAATTAAAGAGGTATTCCCAGCTCTCACTATACAACGCCCTCAGGAACTTCCCTTCACTTCTTCTCTCAAAAGAAACATTTACAGGATCTCCTTGATTAAAAAAAAAAAGGGGGGGGGGGGAGGGATTCATTCAAACCCCAAGTCTCCCTGCTTCCCAACATTTCTATGCAGAAATCATTTAAAATGTGCTTATATAGGCTGCTGTAGATCTCACTTCTCCTTCTACCAACACTACCTCCACCCTGGCTCACCTGATCCCTCCAGCTCCGCTTCACGGGACTCCTCTCTGGGCGCTCCGTTCTCCACCTCGGCCAATGTGTCCATCCTCCGCAAGGGTCTCCCAGCCCGGGAAGAACTCCTCTTGGCTCCCCAGATGCGCTCGTAGAGTAAGCTGGCACATCCTCACAGGTCTACCAGCAACCTCTCCTTGGGGCTCATTTCCCCTAAACAGCTTCCCCAACCGTTGGTACCAACCCTAGCACGAATCTCAGTTGAAAAATAGACCCTTCCATGCTCTTTCCACTGCAGAGAGTTTCCAGAGGAACAATTCACTTGAACAGAAGGCTGAGGATGGTGGAGTATAGCCAACCTCATGCTCTCATTCATAACTTTGGGTTGTCTTTGTATTTGGCAAATACTGGTGCAGTGTTTCTTAAAGTAACATGACTCATAACAGGCAGCCAAAGGCCCTTTAAAATAAAGACAGCTCCTCACCCTCTGGTGGGTAGGGCATACATACAGTGATCCTGAATGTTCTGTGCACAATGGACACACAAGATCATTTCTCAGTCTTTTTGTTTTATGTTTAAACCCTACCTAGAAAAGTAGAAATAAAGATTGAAGAAAAAAGTTTGGAGGAGCTACGTCTGGGTTTTAAAGTACAAGCAGGTTTAAAAGAAGTGAAGAGTTGTATTCATGTGTGATCCCTTGAAGAGCTTCAAACTTTTCTAGCAGTGGTAGTATCATGTCAAATTTACAGAAAGTATCATGGGAAGAAGCGAAGCACATGAAAAAACTGGTCCAGTGGCATTTCACACATGATTAAAAGCTCCACCGCACACAACACAGAAGGTTAAGTGTCCTTGAAAACCTTGACCCCTGCTGGACTACTGGAGATCAAGTTACTCTGAATGGAGAAAAGGGAGCTATTAGTCAATAATTACATAACTACTTCTCATGAGGCTATTCATAAGCAAATCACTAGTATCTACCAAAAAGATAGCTCAGCTTCCACTCTGACTGGGAATACATACTTCCCATCAGAAGAAGAAGGGGATTACAGAGCAAAATGGCTCGTAACTCTTAAGGAAACACTATAGACACCATTCTCAAGAGATTAATTGAGCTGGCAAGACTGATACCCTCCAAAAAGATACAGCCAGAGGAAGAGCCAACAATCTAAACTATTAATGTACTTATTTTTCATAACACTATCACACACAATTATGGTAGGGGGATACAAAAAAAACTGTCTGAACAAACTTTCTTGGTACCTCTAACACATAGGTACACGCATTAGCCCAAAAGTTAGAGGTCCACCTTAACCACGTAAACACATGGAAGCTCTGAGTTAACATTCCATAAGGTAATAAGGCAGAACATATTTGGTCTGAATATTAGATGTCTAACACGTATCTGTGAATGTCCTGGGTGTTTGGGTTAAAGTCAGGTGAACTCATAATATAGTAGTTAAGCTAGTTCTCGATTAGTTTCTCTACTTTTTTTAAATCCAGGTAATTGTTTTACTGTTTATATGCCTCTTAGGGCCAAACTGTCTAAAGGGTAGATAGCTCATATGCACATCAAAATCATGTACCATTGTGTCAGAAACAGTGTTCCATGCTCAGCAAGTCCAGAGATGAAAATGTTTTTCCCTTAATGCACATGCATCATTTTTAAAAATGCATCTTTATAAGCCTGAATAAATTAATCAAGCTACTAATCTCAGAGAAAGACTAACTACGGTAAAAACATTTTGCCAAACTAGTCTAGAAAAAAGTCACACAGCAAGGCTCACCGTGACAAAACACGATTAGGGCCCTATCAAATTCACGGCCATGAAAAATGCGTCCCGGACCATGAAATCTGGTCTTTTGTGTGCTTTTATCCTATACTATACAGATTTCACGGGGGAGACCAGTGTTTCTTAAACTGGGGGTCTTGACCCAAAAGGGAGTTGCGGGGGGTCACAGTATTGTCACCCTTACTTCTGTACTGCCTTCAAGAACTGGGCAGCCAGAGAGCAGCGGCTGTTGGCTGGGCACTCAGCTCTGAAGACAGCGCCTCGCCAGCAGCAGTGCAGAAATAAGGGTGGCAATACCATACCATTGCACCCTTACTTCTGCACTGCTGCGTTCAGAGCTGGGCAGCTGAAGAGTGGCAGCTGCTGACTGAGGGCCCAGCTCTGCAGGCAGCAGCCCAGAAGTAAAGGTAGCAGTACCACAACCCCCCAGCAATAACCTTGCAAAGCCCACACACACACACCCTTCCTTTTCAGGTCAGGACCCCTACAATTACAACACCATGACATTTCAGATTTAAATACCTGAAATCATGAAAATTATTATTTTTGAAATCCTATGTCCATGAAATTGACCAAAATGGACTGTGAATTTGGTAGGGCCCTACATATGATAAAAAGAGCTTAACTGTCATTAAACTGATCTGAACACTAATTATGGGACATTTATTCCACACTGAGCATTATTAGCTATTGGTCACTTCCTTTTCCCAATATCTGCAGTCCTCGTCTCTCCAAGACACATTGCCAACATGAAGTGCACAATTAGACTTATGAATAACGTTAAAATAATATATAGTTCTTGCTGTGTTGACATAGAAGTTGCACTCATAGAAAAGTGTATTACCCACGCATAGATGGACTTAGCACTAGCTCTTTTGAACTATACTGTCATTTTTTTCACCAAAATAATCAATATAGCTGGTGTGCATAGGTGTATTACCTAGCACCTTCCATAATGAAATTTGCAGCATGATGTTGCCTTTGATTGTATGCATATTTAAGCATACACACTGTTACTGCAGTCGTTGAGTCCCAATCATGATTGGGCCCCTATTTCCAAACAGACAACTTTTCAGAAAAACTAAACTTTGAGCTCAATTTTTCAGTTTCTCAGCTCACTTTCTTTAAATTGGGTTTACGTAAGCTTTCACCTTTTTTAGTTACCTGATCAAGAAAAGATGTTTTCCACATTTTTAGAAAGTTATTTTGTTGTCACACATATACACAAAGGAAAGTTACTGATGTGATAAGTTACATAACTTCTGAGATTCCTGACTAGTATTTAAATTCTCAGACATGTTGCAATAACAGATTTTGTTTTGCATTGAATCTCAAATCTTTGGATTGTCAAAACAATGCATCTGTCTAAAGTATGGTTATGTGAACCATGAATAATTCTGCACTACTGCAGACAAGTCAATAGGAAGCAGGGCTACTGACCAATCAAATTAGAACAAATTAGCGCACAGAACATAAGCTACTTTTTTAAAATGTCAACCATTTCCCTCACCAAAAAAGTATTACTACTATTTTACAATAACAGAAATACATTTCTTGCTAAGCTGATGAGGACATGAGAACTGAAACAGAACATTTTGTTTACAGTGTATAAGGGAAATTTGCACCTCTTGCCTTAAAGTATAACCATCTGTGGGCATTAAGGCCTCAGCATGCAGCTTCAGACATTACCTCCCACACCTGGACACCTTTGGAAACTAGCTCTCTACCAAAAGCCTAACTATACATTCAAATTGATTGGAGTTGCAAGACTTGTGAAGAGAAGCCCAGGTTGGAATTTATTTTTTTACTGAAAAGAAATGAAATACTCCTGAGAAAGAGTATCAGACAGAACCATGTCTGTATGTGTACAAACAGAGTGTTGTAGCTGTGTTGATCCAACACATTAGAGAGAGAAGATGGGTGAGGTAAGAAAACATATTACCCCACCCAGCTTGTCTGTGTACAAATATACTGCTCGATAATTGTGGTGTTGCACTGTATTCATTTCATAAGCTTGATGATAGCCACGCTGTGTTATACTCAAGGAGGATGGAAGGGAGCAGAGAGGCACTACCCATATCGTCTGTGAATCCTGCTTGTTAGGCAAAAGCAGGTGACATCACTATGGGACATTCTTTTGTTCAAGGGACCGTGGAAAGGTGGAGATCACTCCTTTGACAGCTGCTCAGAACCAAAGATGCAATTAAAGCTTTCACTTTGTGAAATACTCCCTTGTTCCTGGTTCAATTGTAAATAAGTAATGCATTGACCCCAGGCATTACAACTATCCAGCAAGTAATCCAGACCAGCAATGGTATAATGCAATGGCCAGCATGGAAACTTTAGCTTTTTTTTTTTTTTTTTTTTTTTAAAAACACACGAGTCTCCTCCTTTTAAGGGTTTGTAAAATGAAAAATTCACTTTGGAGCAGAAGCTGTTCAGTATCATCAGAGCAGGGAGAGATGCTTTCAGACGGTTCCCCATTGTATCCAGACTTTTCTTTCTATTGTAATTCTAACAACATCCCCAAGAATCATCCCTCATTCCCTACCATTGCACTTCCTTGTTTCGACACCTTTTTTCCCACCTAGAAAGGAACCCTGCAAGTCTTGTGAATACATGTCAGAAGCACAAAAAAGTGAATCAGGAAAATGAAAAAAGTCATCCTCTGATATGAGGAAAGCCATCCTAATGTGTGTGAAAGTTACATTTTGACCTGTGTTTCATAGCTAGGATGTACGTCAATAGCTTGGGATTACAAAAATAGGAACATTTGTCAGTGATACAAGGTCTAATGAGAAGCCTATTTGTATAGAATTTTTTCCAGAGGACAATCGCCTCATGGTTAAGACCAATTGCAAAATAAAAGGATTTAACAGGCAACCTCTATTGGGAACAAACATTGCCCACTGTGCGTACAGGTTTTCTCCTGAAGGAGTTCATCAGATAGCTTAGCTACTTTCTGTCACTCACACATGGCTAGAGCACAGATAGTACATGTGCTTAACCTCTGAAGTACCAAATCTGTGATTGATGCCATCAATCTTGTAAGCGGCAAGGGTATAGACTAGATGACTCAATAGGCATTTTCAGTCCATACTACCTATGATTATGGCATCAAACAATTTAAATAAAAAGAATAAGTGAGCACCAGTCTAATAAAGGCCTTTTGATAACCCCACCCCAGCTCCCTGAGACCAGAAGCACTGAAAAAACATTCTCACCTGAACTATAATCTTTTAGGCGCAAGTCTTTCACAGGTGTCCCATCAGGTGCTCGGAAAGCATTGAGAATCTAGAGACAAAAACCAAGAGTCAACATTAGTTTCACAGCACACACCAAACCAAGGCTACTTTAGGAAGGTAAGATAGAGAGAGGAAACAGAGTACAGGAAAAGCTAACACACTCATAAGAATTCTGTCGGTTTTGGATTCCGAACTCCATTACAAAGAGGCATATTCTCCCACAGAGTCCCCTTATCATCTGAGAACTGCCTTTTAAAGAGAGAAACTGTCATTACAGCAGAATTCAGGTGCATGGAGCTTAGTTATTTAAGTTTTAATGTCCTCTCCATTCAGAATGTTTTCTTCTTAATGTGTTGCAATCACTTCTCTGGCCATTTATTACTATTAAAATCACTGATCACTAGTTACCTTTGAGATTGTTTGGGCCTTTATTTCCTCTAACATCCCACTATCTCAGGACACAGTAAGTTCCTCACCTGAGTTCTCAGGCCCAATTCTCAAGAAGTCTGATCATCATCACTGAACTAAAGAGCACTACATTGCAAGAGGCCCACAGTCTGGAACTCCCATGAGATACACCCTGGGGCTGACTATTGGAGCTCTGTGGAAGTAACTTTTTCTACCACCTCACAGAGAAAGGCTAACAACCAGTGTTGGCTTTTTGACTAAGCTCAAGTGTAGTAGGAGATATCTTTTCTATCTCTATAGGATACTATTTTAGCACCTCCCAGCTATTGCCTATGGAGCGGCCTGCAGCTCCCTTTCTGGCTACAAGGTAAATACAGATGAGGTAATACAGGAATATAAGGCAGCCTGAAAGACAGTGAAGTGAAAAGCCTTAGGCCCACCAGACAGGC